CTAAGTATATTTTCCTGATTTCCTACTTCCAGATGTTTAAAGGGCTGGCTGCTAAACCCCCCAACATCAGACCTTGGCTCTGGCGTAGGGGTTTGGCAGCCGGGCCCAGAAGTGATTTTGGAGTCGCAGGTTCGATTCCCGGTTCTTCTAAATTAAATTTATAAGAGTCGCTGATCACATTTCACTTCCTAAGTCCTGAATGACGGGCCTGCTAGACAAAGGGCCACCTGGCTCAGAGGTTTAGGCGCTCGTCTATGGCCCAGCAGATATTTTGGAGTCGCCGGTTCGAATCTCAGTTTTGCTTTCTGAATTTGTGCCGACTTATCACTCCTGAAATAGGAGAATGAACACATGAGTTGCTGAGCAGAGGCGAGTAGCTCAGTGGATAAGAGTGTTGACCCAGAGCGCCATAGACCTGAGTTCAAATCCACACAAGCGCTGCAGATCCCCAAGGGCCAATCAATGAGAGCGCTGCAGACCTCAAGTGCAAATCCATGAAAGTGCTGTAGGCCCCACAAGTGCGATACCACAAGAGTGCTGTAGACCCCCAGGAATGAGTACATGGAAGCACAGTAGAATCGAGCTCGAATTGCTGAGTGAAAGCTTGGAGGCCATGGACAACCCACCCGTCTGCTCCAGTCCCAGGCCCCCACAGGCCTGTAACATGTGTGGCATCACAATAGAGTGTGGACTACCCCCTCTTCGGTCCATAGTCTGTGACATCACTGCAACATATATAAATACAAGGGGCTGTCTTACCGGGGCTGCCCATTCAAAATTTAGGGACTTAGGGGTTTTTTTTTTGGCTCACCCCAGATATATATATATATCCAAGTCACCTCCCAGGTGCTGTGCAGTATCTGAACCCCCTGGTGGTGGGACAGAGTAGTGGGTTTGAAATATTTCCCACTACCCCATTCCACCAACAGGGGGCTCAGGTACTGCACAGCACCCAGGACTCATGAGGCTTTCCCTCTACAGCGCTCTTGTGGTATCGCACTCAGGAGGGTCTCCAGCACTTTCATTGAACGCTTTCATGTGTGGATTCGAACTCAGGTCTCCAGCAGACCAGTCAGAGCTCCTATCCTCTGAGCCACCGCCTCAGCTCAACCATTGAAGTGCTCGTTCTTCTATTTCAGGATTGGGAACCATTTGTACAATACAAAAAAATAATAATAAGTAAACTACTAAACCAGGTTCATGTGTAAGTACCCAGAGTTCTGAGTATCGCCCTCTGACCCATCTTCATACAAACAGGTTATTATAGAAACTCATAGAGCTCACACGTGAACTAGTTCTCTGGAGAGTCCATCTTGGGAGTTGATGACATTTCACCCAAACAGCGACATGCCAACTCCAAAAGTCTCTTACAGACAGAACTCTCCCAACAAAAGAAGTGAAATGATTAGCCGAGTAAAAATAACAATCACTGGCTGTAAGGCAGAACTCTAACCCACAAGGTACACCCCGCAGTTATACCTCATCACCACGACATGTCACCATTGAGGTGCTCGTTCTATCTCACAAAGACAAGGCTAGGACCAATTGGATAAGACCCCCAACAGATACCTCAGGCCTCAGTTCTCCTCTACACCCACCAGAGGACACTGGTCTCTGAGCCATCTCCACACAAGCACAGTCTAACAGGAAAGTACAAGACATTTCACCAGCAGGAGACACCACGGGGACTTAACCCCCAGCCAATGAAACTACAATAAGAGGAAGGCCAACACATCGAATACTTCCAGCCAAAGCAGCAACTATGACAAAGTTAGTATTTTATTTTGTCATAATAACTAGACAAAGGGTGTCAGTCTCTGAGCGATCTCCTCCACACTAGGACCCCCCCAATTGTCGGTCCCATCAAACCAGTAGAAGGCTACAAAGGGTTAAAGTGTGTTCTTCTATTTGAGAAGTGGGCAAAACTTACACAATAATAATTAAAAAAATGAACTGAAAAAGTTATCAATATATAAAAATAATACCATAAAGTCCGCCGATTCTGTTCCCTACATTATAGACAGATTCTATAATCGAATGAAATTGTTCTTCTCCAATTACGTTACAAGCAGATTAAAACCCAACCATGTAAATCTCATACAAGCTCATACATATGTAAATCCCAAAAGTTGTTTTTAATCTATTTAAATCTGCAGCTTCTTTAAAATATTACCTTGGTGATCCTGCCATGAAGGTCCTTGTTCAGACATTCTCCCAACTGAGTTCCTGCGCTGTCCCCCTGTCACATGCACCAGTGACATTACCTGTGGGTAGTTCTGCTTACACACATAGCGCAGGAATGGATTACCGCCATCACTACCAAGAAGCCGATGCATGGAAACCATGTGGATGAAGAAGGTTGGATGAGGTCATCAGCACTGAGAAGGGGAAATAAATAGCAAACCAAAGGATTAGCCCTCAGGTCTTCTGAGCATCAGTCAGAGCTTCCCTCAATGAAACCATGATCATTCTTCTATGAAAGACATACAAGAGACATAAATCAAATAAAAAAAGCCCCCTAGTGTCACATGACTCCGAGCTACCATCTCAAACACAATTCTCAGAAATAGGACACGGTTTCAGTTACCAGGGCCATGGTCACAGGCAACCAAAACACTCTTCTCCAGCAAGTCAAAAGGTACAAGAGACAAGGAGACATCATATTCAGCATGAGGAAAACCATGAATGGTGATACAATGACGAGGAGTCATTTCTGCACTTCCTGTAAAGTGAGGGGAGAACAGATTACACAAACTGCAATGAAAAATCAAGACGCAACCAAAGAAGATCCAGGACAGTTTACAAACGGAGCGTCATGGATAAACCTTATAATAAATGTTTATTTGTAAAATACAGAATCTGCTTAAAGAATTAAAAAGAAAATATATATATTTATATATAAAACCATTTATAAAAGGAAAAATCTTTAACATAAAATGTACCACAAATATAAAACTGAAAGAACTGCAGGCAAAAGGCAAAGTTTAAACACAAATGCTATTTAGTTGCGTCTCCTGTTGGTTTTACCCACCTGCGCCTCTACTACTACAATGACAGAAGTTGCAGAACATACTGAATAAAAGCAGATTACGTCATACAAAGTTTCTTTTGTGGCATCAATTATGTTGTGTTCACACTTGTGTGGTTCCCGGGCCATACGTGGACCTGGAAACAGACACACACAGGGAAAGGGTATTCTTTCACCCTTTGGCTTCTTACAGTATATCCAACAGGGACCTCTCTCGCCACAGTGCAATGCTTTGGCACAACCACATAGGAGTTCCAGGTGTTCTGACTCCAAAGAATTTCAGCTTACCCTGCTCATCTAGACTTTTCAAGTTCCTCTGCCCACCTAGGAGTTCCAATAGTTCTTGCTCAGCTAGGAGCTCAAGGTCCCCCTGCCCACTTAAAAGTTCCAGATGTTTATGCCTACCTAGGAGTTCCAGGTGTTCCTGGATTTTCAGTGGTCAAGGTAGCCCTGCCCACCTAAGAGTTCCAGATGTGCATGCCCACCTAGAACTTTCAAGTGTCTTCTTCCACCTAGAAATTTTCAGGTTTCCCCATCCACCTTGGAGTTCCAGGTGTCCCTGTCCACCTAGAAATCGCAGGTGTCCCTGTTCACCTAGGAATCGCAGGTGTCTCTGTTCACCTAGGAATCGCAGGTGTCTGTCCACCTAGGAATCGCAGGTGTCTCTGTTCACCTAGGAATCGCAGGTGTCTGTCCACCAAGGAGCCCCAGGTGTCCCTGTCCACCTAGGAGTCCCAGGTGTCCCTGTCCACCTAGGAGTCCCAGGTGTCCCTGTCCACCTAGGAGTCCCAGGTGTCCCTGTCCACCTAGGAGTCCCAGGTGTCCCTGTCCACCTAGGAGTCCCAGGTGTCCCTGTCCACCTAGGAGTCCCAGGTGTCCCTGTCCACCTAGGAGTCCCAGGTGTCCCTGTCCACCTAGGAGTCCCAGGTGTCCCTGTCCACCTAGGAGTCCCAGGTGTCCCTGTCCACCTAGGAGTCCCAGGTGTCCCTGTCCACCTAGGAGTCCCAGGTGTCCCTGTCCACCTAGGAGTCCCAGGTGTCCCTGTCCACCTAGGAGTCCCAGGTGTCCCTGTCCACCTAGGAGTCCCAGGTGTCCCTGTCCACCTAGGAGTCCCAGGTGTCCCTGTCCACCTAGGAGTCCCAGGTGTCCCTGTCCACCTAGGAGTCCCAGGTGTCCCTGTCCACCTAGGAGGTCCAGGTGTCCTCTCCTGCCTAGGAGGTCCAGGTGTCCCCGCCCAGTGTTTAATGCGTCTACACCCACCTAGGAGTTTCAGGTGATCTGCCCACCTAGTAGATTCAGGTGTCCTTGCTCAAGCTGCGGCGGACACAGACAAGATTTTCGGAGGGTTTCAGGCCAATGACTATATTATCTTCTTCCCTGCTAAAAGTAAAAAAAAGTCCCATAGATAATTATACTGAAAGATTTGAAAAGATGACGTTTAAAAATGATATCCAGACATGATATTAAACTAAAGTTCTTACCCAAGACCCATCCCCAGCCAAAACTCTTATTTTTGAGGTGAGGAAAGGATAGACACTATGCTGTGAATAACTATCGTGGAGAAACATGGGCTCACTTCCTGTCCTGGTGACAGTGAAGGAAGTGAGCAGCATTTTCCCCAACAGCCACCAATACAAATCCAACTGGGAATTGAACCCTTCCTAACTTAAAAGAGATTTGGGCGGAGTTGGGCTTTGCTTATACTGGTTCTGTTCTGCATCTGCACTGAATTATGATCAGAGAAAATGATGTCGGCAACTTCCTGAGTATGATCAGCACCTTCAGTTTATGAGGATCAGAGTTTTAACTACAGTACACAAAAGAAAATGGACAGTAAGTTCAACGCTCAGTGTAGTCTGCGGTCAGGATGGCCTACAGACTGCCGGCGCGGGTCTTGTGGGTGATTAGCGGTCCTCGTGCACAAATGGTCTGGAGTCCTTCTTGCTGTACCGGTGGCGCGGTATGGAGGTACAGTACATCATTGTAGCGGGTGCTGCCCCCTTGTGTCCATCTGAGGCTTCTGCAGCTTCTTCAGCTGGCTTTCCATCTCCCTCACCTAACAAGATGGAACATTGAACAAATATTTAAAAGGCAACGTCAGACCGACAGCTAAATACACAGTTGAGACGTGCTCAACAACAACAAAACACCCTTAAGGGAGGTAAACCTGTATTTCTGCTATTTGAAGTGTAAACTAAGAAGTCAAACATCTCCAAGTGCAAACAGAATAGCAGATATCGGAAAGGTCAGACCTGCAATACAAACAAGCAAGTGATGGCTGGGAAAGTTCTCATTGCTTCCTGATAGACCTGTACTCCATTCATCACTGCCTAGTTACACTCATACTCTAGCAAAGCAATGCAAATATTGTATCTACTAACAGACATATATACACATGAGGGCTGACATGTTTCAGAATACAAAGAGGCCCAGTACTTCCCCCTCCTACCTGAAAGCCTGAGGTTAAGCCCTCATTCACACGGGTAACGGCTGGCCCGGACAGATCTGTGCTGCGTGCACGGCCGTATCGGGCAGCTCCCGGGAAAGACAGGTGCTCCGTGTGATTAGTACGCAGCAGTCTGTTCTTCTCGATGGGAGTACGCAGCCGTACGCCGCTCTACGCTCACCCGACCTGCACGTCCGTAAGGGTGTCCCTGCTCGGACACAGACAAGATCCATCCCGTCAGCGTACTCAGACGCGCAGGTCGGGTGAGCGTACGGCCGTGTACTCCCATAGAGAAGGACAGGCTGCTGCGTATTATCACACGCAGCACCTGTCCTTCCCGGGAGCTGCCCGATACGGCCGTGTATGCAGCATGGATCTGTACGGGCCGACCGTTACCCGTGTGAATGAGGGCTAACTCTCAGCTGGTGTGAAGCAGTTCTTTAAATCCCAGGTGAAGTCACAGAATAAATAGCAGTCTGATAGACATTGTACTAACAAACTCCATTTTTCTGTTACATCAGCTGTTCAGGGTTTCTGAATATGACTGTGCAGTTTAATAGGCACTAGAGATGAACTCAGTGCTCATATGAATTTACAATGCAATCATCACTCAGTAAAAGATCTGGTCGGGCACACCCCCTCTCTCTGAGGACACATGACATGAGGGGTGTGGCTGTTACTCAGCTCTGCCAGCAAAGAACACTACATAGGGAAGGAAGCAGCATTTTCAATGAGCGGGAAAGGTTTTCTTCTCCACTCATCGGCAGCTCTATATATATATTAGGCTGAAATCACATAGCTAACACACCAGAATTAGGATCCTTCTTTTCCCAAAATATAACCATTATCTTCATCTGAGTTCAATTGGCTGAAATAAAGACTGGTACCCTTATGTAAAGCTGTGTGATCTGAGCCTTTGATCTACACTTGGACTGTCTGGAAATAAAAGACATAAATGGAGGGACGGTACCAGCCAACAGGTTTATGTGACCTGCAGTCTTATAGAGATCACTAAAGCTCTGCTAGGTCTGGTCGCACCTTGTTTTGTAACGCTGCGAGGGTTGTTTCAAGTGTCGAGATGTAGTCTTCTTCTGAGTCCTCTTGTAGATATTCCTCCTGTCTACAAGATGAAGAACAAAGAGCGGACACAGGGGGAAGTTACATACAAAAGGTACAATGACAAGCCATGCTTTACAATGCAAGACGTACAGGAATAACAGAACACAAAGGGAATAACAGTCCTATTCAAAGGTCCCTACCACCTCTATGGAAAGTGAGGAGAGATGTGATGTGACGGTTATTTGCCCTTCTGAAAAGGTGAGGACTGAGGCTGCGCCAAAAGTGACCCCGTCAGTTCCAACCCCCAAAAACGTACCCATCCAACCCCAGTTGGACCTTGTCTCATACATCCCCTCTGTTCCAGAACTGCAGCCTCCAGAGGACTCTTCAGCATTTGACACTGGCAGGAAAGTTGGATTCTTGAGTTCCCTGCGCTGTCTTTCCTTCCTTCGATCCCTACATCACTACATGTCTCAGCAAGGAGACAGTGGTCTGGGGAAGAACTACAGGATGAAACTGGAGGACACAGCCATCCAACATTTCTGGGAATGTTGAATGCTGAAGAGTCTGATGGAGTCTGCAGCACAAGAACGCAGGAGAGGTACAAGACACAGGCCCACCAGAGAGAAGAGTATAAAATCTCTTCAATTGCAGTAAACTTCCTTTCAAAATTTGTTATGGAACTGACAGGGTCTCTTTACAAATCAAAAGGTCTGGTGAGTCCCTGACGCAATGTGAAAGGGATTTCTAGGGAAGCTATAAGTCCAAGTCCAAAATGTTTACCAAGAAATCCACAACTAGACAAATACCAATGTCATCCATAATCAAATGCCCAATGTAATGCTAGGGCAAGGATTAAGACATTTTCTTGAGTGTTAAGAATTTTCTAGAATTTGGCCAATTCAGAACAGCATTGCCTGTCTGTTGAGGTGCTTCACAAGAACAGTGGTGGGTCTCGGGGCTACAGAGGACAGAGATGTCCGAGAAAGAGTCTCTCTAGGAACAGTGGTGGATCACAGGGCTACAAAAGATGGAGATGTCTGAAGAAGAGACCTACAAGGAACAGTGGTGGGTTTCAGGGCTGAGAAGTATGAGATGTCTGAAGAAGAGTTTTACAGGGAACAGTAGTGGGTCTCAGGCCTACAGAAGACAGAGCCATCTGAGGAAGAGTCTTGCAAGGAACAGTGGTATGTCTCAGAGCTACAGAGAATGGAAACTCATGCAGAAAAGTCTCACAAGGAACAGCGGTGGGTCTAAGGGCTACTGAAGATAGAGACATCTGAAGAAGAGGCTTACAGGTAACAGTGGTGGGTCTCAGGGGTAAGAGAGGTCAGAGACATAGGAAGAAGAGCCTTACAAGAAAAAGTGGTGGGTCTTAGGGCTACGGAGGATGAAGATATTTGAGGAAGAGTCTCACAAGGATCAGTGGTATGTCTCAGGGCTACAGAAGATCGAGAAGTCTAAGGAAGAGTCCCACAATGAACAGTGGTGGGTCTCAAGGCTACAGAAGATGGAGACATCTGAAGAAGAGTATCACAAGGTTAAGTGGCGGGTCTCATGGCTAGAGAAGATAAAGATGTAAGAAGAAAAGTCTCACAAAGAACAGTGGTGGGTCTCAGGGCTATAGAGAATGGAGACGTCAAAAGAAGAGTCTTACAGGTAAACAATGGTGGGTCTCAGGGCTAGAGAAGTCAGAAACATCTGAAGAAGAGTCTCTCAAGGAACAAGTACGGGTCTCAGAGATAGAGAAGACAGGGACATCTGAAGAGTCTCACAAGGAACATTGATGGATTTTGGAGCTACAGAGGATGAAGACATCTGAAAAAGAGTCTCACAAGGTACAGTGGTGGTTCTTAGGGCTAGAAAGAACGAAGATGTCAGAAGAAGAATCTTACAAGTAAACAGTGGCAGGTCTCAGGCCTAGAGAAGTCAGAAATTCTGAAAAAAAGTCTCACAATGAACCGTGGTGGCTCTGAGGGCTAGAGAAGACAAAGACATCTGAAGAAGAGTCCCGCAAGGAACAGTGGTGGATTTTGAAGCTACAGAGGATGAAGACATCTGAAGATGAGTTTTACAACATACAGTGATGGGTCTCAGGGCTAGAGAAGATAAAGAGGTCTAAAGAAAAGTCTCACGAGGAACAGTGATGGGTCTCATGGCTACAGAGGATAGAGATGTCTAACGAAAAATCTACAAGCAACTGCTGTGGGTCTCAGGGCTACAGAAAATGGAGTCGTCTGAAAAAAAATCCCACAAGCAAAAGCAGTGGATCTCAGGGCTACTGAGGATGGAGACATCTGAGGAAGAGTCTCACAAGGAACAATGGTGGGTCTCGGGAAGTGCCAGAAGTCTATATGTCAAATGTATAAAAGTGAATTAGGAAGCAGTGGGAGATCAATGTAAACAATGAGGACACCTTTTTTGTTGAAAGGAGAGGGGCACTACCTCAGCTCCAGCATTCTATACAGACTGCAGCAAGGACATCAAGGGTGAATGCTATGTCAGAAAGAGATGACACTACTTCCTATTCCAGCTACTGTACTCTTCCACAGTGTGTGTGTTCTGTACCTAATCTGTGATATTGTCTCAAAACATCAACCTTTGTCCCCAATATTTGTCCCAATCACAGTCCAGGAAAAACTGTTCTTAAAGATCAGATATCCAACATGCTGACGACTAAGATAGACAGAAAGGGTATGCCAATACCTACCTGGAGTCCTCAGGGCTGAATCTGTCAGTATAGGTGAATTCCTCATCCCGTCGGTTCCGGAAGTGTGAAGAGAGGGCATCAGACTGACCCTGTGTTCCACAACCTGGGTTCATAAAAATACTAGTTATTACTAGTCAAATATTAGTGTCACTTATCCCTATTTATATATAAAAGCATATAACATATCTATCCATGGCCCCCCATACCCCTAATCAATAAACACATATAGAAAAACACATAACATATCTGTCCATGGCCCCCCATACCCCTAATCAATAAACGCATATAGAAAAACACATAACATAACATGTCCATGGCCCCCCATACCCCTAATCAATAAGCACATTTAGAAAAACACATAACATAACATGTCCATGGCCCCCCATACCCCTAATCAATAAGCACATTTAGAAAAACACATAACATAACATGTCCATGGCCCCCCATACCCCTAATCAATAAGCACATTTAGAAACTTTTCCAAAAAACAGGACCTGTGCCCCCCCCCCCCCACACCTCCTCCTCATCATATCAATGCAGAAGGCATGGCACAGACACAAAATACCTCCCACTGACCATAAAGCAAGGTGCAGTGCATGTAAAAGGATGAGAGTACCACAAGTGCAAGCACTTTCCCAATAAGATTTCAGAAGATACTCCGCCTTTGTGATTGAATCTGATGCTTGATAGGTAATAACAAAAAAATGAGGATTTAGTTATTGATGGTAGGAGTTTCTGAAATGTCAGAATAGGCAACCTGCACTGCAAATACCTTATTATTTGTTATTCCTGACCCAGCATCATCTCTAGTCATGGCCACCATTCAAGTCCTAAAGGAGTGGGAGTTTGGAACCCCTGAAGAACGTTGGTTGAATCTTCTGACCTATTATTGTGAAAAACAAATCTTGTGCTGGGGTTATAGCGCTTTCATCCTCTGACTGCTCTGGGAGACCCCAAAGGGGCAAGATTGACAGACAGCAGCCACTGGAGCAGCTTTATTTTGCCTACCTTCGGGTCTAGAGCTCTCCCAATACATATAGTGTGTGTGTGTGTGTGTGTGTGTGTGTGTGTGTGTGTGTGTGTGTGTGTGTGTGTGTGTGTGTGTGTATATATATACACACACAGTCATACTGATGTAAAACACCTAGCAATAAGTCTTTCAGCATAAAGCAGGGCGGGTGCAGACATTTCATTCTGGGTGTCTGCATTAGGAGATTAGCACATCTGCATTTTATCTACACCTCCCAACCCAGGAGCCTGAGCCCAATGTGTAAATAGTATATACCTAGAGACATAAACAGTTCTGCCCTTACAGGCAAATACGATTTCCTAAGACCAAGGTTCTGTGTGTTTTTGTATTGATAGGAGCAGACAAATGTACAAGGAGGGACCCTTTAACTAGCGCTGGGCCATAGCACTCCACACATATAATTACCCGTACCCAAACACAGCTCTTAGCTATAGTAATATATTTATTTCTTTCCTTTTGTTGCTAATGCGGTTCAGTAATTCAGATCTGGAGTATTCGGAAATGTAAAAATGAAGGGGGCACCCGGATTTGAACCGGGGACCTCTTGATCTGCAGTCAAATGCTCTACCACTGAGCTATACCCCCAGTGCACATGTGCAGCTGATTATCTAGAACAGGTATAGTGACTCATTGTATATGTCTACAGCACTGTTTGCTTTGACTGCTTCCTGGAAAAGTGAAAAAAGGAAAACTGGAAAAACTCGCACTGAGAGGAAACAGCTCTTCACCACAGCAAGCCTTAAAATGTCCTTACATTACACACATGTTAAGAGACAGGAGGGGGCGTAGACAAGACCAGACATGCTGTACAAGGAGAGAGAGCAGCAGTGACCGGTCTTTATTACAGGAGGGGGGTGGAGACGAGACCAGTCATCCTGCACAAGGAGAGAGCAGCAGTGAGCGGTCTTTATTACATGAGGGGCGGAGACAAGACCAGTCACCCTGTACAAGGAGAGAGAGCACCAGTGACCGGTCTTTATTACAGGAGGGGGGTGGAGACGAGACCAGTCATCCTGCACAAGGAGAGAGAGCAACAGTGAGCGGTCTTTATTACAGGAGGGGGCGGAGACAAGACCAGTCACCCTGCACAGGGAGAGATACTTTTTTACAGGAAGTTCCTCACATTGGATTACTGCACAGATCTGGAATAAATACACAAAGCTCACCGAGATTCAATGAAGAATACACAGGACTCTATTATTTAGACAATATTTGGTGATCCCGGAGATCAGATTGTAAACGTTTACTATTTAGTGCTAAAAAAAAACAAGCAAAGAAATATAAAACAGAAACAATGAACAATCCCGGGAACAAGTTGTCAAATAGTAAAGACAGATGGGGAAAAGTGCCGTCATACGATTCACAGAGCACATACATTGGTGACAACTGTACAATGTTTATGAAAAAAACCTAACAAGAGTTAATAAGAAAAGAAAAGAGCAGAAATAGCGATATAAAGTTGTTGTTTTTTAATGTGAGCTGCCAAAATTGTCCGTCCTGCTGAATAAATAGGGAAAGTTGTATAAAGTGGGGTGTGTGCCAGGGCACGTTGTCTGAAAAGTTCTCCTTTTTAGGACAGATACGTCTTATAACCCAACACACCATGACTCAGAGGTTACAGCCGCTCATAAAACATCATTAGAAACCGGGGAGCGTGTATCAGAGCTCCACATAGATCCTATCACCCCGGACTCGCCATCACACAGCACCCCTGGACTCACAGCACCCTTGGACTGACTATCACACAGCACCCCCCAACGACTCACCATCACACAGCATCACACCCTTCTCCCCCACCCACCCCGGACTCACCATCACACAGCCCCCCTGGACTCACCATCACACCCCCCCCCCCCGACTCACCACCACACAGACCCCCTGGACTCACCATCACACAGCCCCCCTGGACTCACCATCACACCCCCCCCCCCCGACTCACCACCACACAGACCCCCTGGACTCACCATCACACAGCCCCCCTGGACTCACCATCACACCCCCCCCCCCCGACTCACCACCACACAGACCCCCTGGACTCACCATCACACAGCCCCCCTGGACTCACCATCACACCCCCCCCCCCCGACTCACCACCACACAGACCCCCTGGACTCACCATCACACAGCCCCCCTGGACTCACCATCACACCCCCCCCCCCCGACTCACCACCACACAGACCCCCTGGACTCACCATCACACAGCCCCCCTGGACTCACCATCACACCCCCCCCCCCCGACTCACCACCACACAGACCCCCTGGACTCACCATCACACAGCCCCCCTGGACTCACCATCACACCCCCCCCCCCCGACTCACCACCACACAGACCCCCTGGACTCACCATCACACAGCCCCCCTGGACTCACCATCACACCCCCCCCCCCCGACTCACCACCACACAGACCCCCTGGACTCACCATCACACAGCCCCCCTGGACTCACCATCACACCCCCCCCCCCCGACTCACCACCACACAGACCCCCTGGACTCACCATCACACAGCCCCCCTGGACTCACCATCACACCCCCCCCCCCCGACTCACCACCACACAGACCCCCTGGACTCACCATCACACAGCCCCCCTGGACTCACCATCACACCCCCCCCCCCCGACTCACCACCACACAGACCCCCTGGACTCACCATCACACAGCCCCCCTGGACTCACCATCACACCCCCCCCCCCCGACTCACCACCACACAGACCCCCTGGACTCACCATCACACAGCCCCCCTGGACTCACCATCACACCCCCCCCCCCCGACTCACCACCACACAGACCCCCTGGACTCACCATCACACAGCCCCCCTGGACTCACCATCACACCCCCCCCCCCCGACTCACCACCACACAGACCCCCTGGACTCACCATCACACAGCCCCCCTGGACTCACCATCACACAGCCCCCCTGGACTCACCATCACACAGCACCCCTGGACTCCTGGACTCACCATCACACAGCCCCAAAATCCCCCACTCCCGCGGACTCGCCATCACACAGTCCCCCCTGGACTCACCATCGCAACACTCCTTCCAGAAGCGCAGGTCCAGGCCAGGGATGTCACTGCAAGGCCGCATGTCCTGAGGGAAGAGGGCCACCTGGAACACATCGTCTTGGACGTGCTGAATGCTGTCACCGTTGTCACACAGGACACGAGCCAGTGAGGTCTGCTTGATTTCAGTCAACTGGGCTGGGGTAAAGACACCAGGATTACTGTGCCAGAACCTGCATGGGGAAAAGTGACAGGGAATTTCCTTTAGGCCCAAAGTCAAACATAATCTATATATATATCTAACAGACTGATCAAGAATACAGACTCCAGCCTGCTAATTGGACTAAGTACGAGCAACAGAATGCTGGGGAGCCATCATTGTGCTTCCTCTGCTTTCCCCTCCTGTCAGCATATTTCCTGTCAGCAGATGTGCAACACAGCTAAACCTGATTGGCTCTCCCATCCACTTACCTTGGGTGTAAAGAAATTGTAAAATGTTCACAGCAGCAATAAAGGATTCTGGATAGTAAGAAAGTGTAACAATATAATATTAATACTACAGAGGGACAAATGGCGAAAAGGTTCTTCTAAAATCACAATCTAAAAGCATATCATTGAAGTGAACTTGGGCCCTGTCCATGCAGGTCAAAGCAACAGGTCCACTTCAACGCCAGCCCAATAGCTGCTAATACTCCCCTTCTTTACGATGCCACAGCAATGAGGTATCAAACTCAAGGTGAGTATGTGCTGCTGCTGGGACTGCCACTAAAGTAGCCATGTTGTTTTGCCCTGCATTGGCAAATCTCACAGCTCCATCTTACAATATGGCGTTTGCCAGGAATTCAGAGTCTCTGCATAATCAAATGGCCAAAGGGCACACCGTACCTGTCTCCATCCCGAAGCCTTTTAAACTGAGTGACCAGAAGGCACATAAGAGTGGGGCCAACGCGGGTCCCGGGGACCAGATCCTCCACGATGAGGGCTGGAAAGAGATCCACATTCTTGGGGGTCCCGTACAAACTGCAGATCGGGAAGAACATTGGTAAGAAAGAGAGACACAAAGTAATCCAATAGAGTGTGATATTGTTATGTAACAACCAACTAGATTGTACTCTGCCAGCACTGGGCTAAGTGACAGGTTTGTTTAGTAGAGGACATACTTACCTTCCCTGCCAGCGAGGGTCATCCACAATTCCAGGTATGGTTGAGCATTTCACCCCCACCCAGCTATCCACAGTGCAGATTGCAGTGCCTGACCATCCAGTCACCAGGTCAGACGAGACTTGTATAGCATGTTAGGCTTTGTGATGGTTTAAAGATGCAAAGGAATTTTTGGAGACCACTAAGTTATATCTCTCAGTGGTACCCGTGAATAAATCTCTCTCTTTTGCCTACTCCGGGCCTCACCCTGGATCTTTAAAAAAAAAAAAAAAAAAAACTCTGTGGCTGCAATACTCAGCTTGTCCCCAGAAGTACCTTTTCTTCTCCCAACTCTCAATGACGTCTAGCATCACTCAACCCAGAAAAGTAAGAACAGACTGAGAGTGCAGGGCATTATGGTCCGGCCCACTGGAGAGGCAATCAACACATCACTCTCAATGTATTGGTGGAGACAGCAGCACTGATAATATCAAGTCAGCTCCACTCCAGAATTATTCAGAACCTCCATGAGAAGACTGAAGAAGATACGCTGTGTCACATGACCAGCCCGAAGGCATTAGGAAAAGGCAAGTACAGACACTCCTCGGGTTACGTTCTGGAAAATCCATCGAAACCCCGAAAAGATTGTAAACCGAGGAGTGTGCTTGTGTACTGTACTGCCGCGGTCGGCAGCAGACAGTACACAATGGGAATCTATAGCAAGACTGCTATTGGCTATTGCAATAGCCAACAGCAGGCTGGTTATTGAATCCCTGCCCATTAACAGGAGGAGTGGAGTTGAGAGAGAGAAAGTTCTCTCTTAGGTCCACTCCTCTGCTCAGTGGGCAGGTGGCAATAGCCAGTCTGCTATTGGCTATTGCAATTTGAAATAGCCAATAGCAGTCTTGCTATTGATCCCGGCTGTTTACATTCACCTGCCGGCTGCGGAAGCGAGCCGGCAGGTGAATGGGGAAGCGGAGTGTCTCGGGGCTTGTTGCTTCAGAGTTACTATTAACTCTCAAGCAACCAGAATCTACAGTTATCTAGCACCTACCGATCCGTGGGTGCCGAATAACTGGGAGTTTACTCCCAGTTATTTACTGTACAGTAAACTGCATCGTAAATGCGAAAAATCGTAATTGATTGATCGCAACCCGAGGAGCACCTGTATAAAATAAAAATAAATTTTTAAAAATACTGCTGAGGGAGGGGGTAGTAACCTGGAGTGGAGGTGTAAACAGGGCCGGAATTAGTCTCTCTGTTGCCCCAATGCCAGGTTCCTCAATGCGCCCCCCTATATGTAGGCTACATACAAGTGACCTTGTACAAAACAAGCGGCGGCTTCCCCGCTGTACATTTAGCTCTGCTTGCCCAAAGCAGGGCTAAATGTAGAAAACAACTACCCGCCCGGCGCCCAGAACTGCATGTCCCGAGCGTCCCGAGATAGGAATTCCACACCCCTGCTGGCCCTCTACTCCCTGCTGCCCCAAGGCGGGGTCTCGGTTGGCCTTGTGAGAAATCCAGCCCTGGGTGTAAAGTGTTACAGTTCCAAAGCTGAACTTTGTGGTTTACCACTTACAGATTTAGACCGTTCTGAATGACTGATTGCGCCTCTTATCTATCCATTTATGAGCTGGACCTTATAAACCAATACACTTTAATTTACATTTGTGAGGAACTGTGCCAAATCCAGATTATACTGCACCTGGAGCCAATTCGGATGGTCGCAGGATAGTGGAGCTCCGGCACAGCTGAAATCCTAGGGCTGAATCCTTAGCACAGAGGACTCCCATGATACTACCCATGTGTGCCCCTGACCCCAGCGACCGTCGGAGAGAACGAAAATCTAAGAAAGGCCCTCGGAAACTTACTGAATTTTTCCGCTCGACGGGCTCGCCGCGGACTCAAGATGGCGCCGGCTCGTCCAGCACCCTGTCCTCTCTGCAACTCTCCGACAGCCGTAACGAGCGGGAGCCGAAAGGAGGTGGGAGCCAGGTGACCGCCAACCCGGCAAAATCCACGCCCAGACTGGACTCTGGGGGAGCGCAGATACGGCCTGGGGAGGGGGACGAGCGGTCTGGCCCTACTGTGCATGTGTGTGAGGAGATGAATAGCACCATTGAGGATTGTCCCACTGCTGATCGCCCCCTGCTGGACACTACCCTAGGGGACGTGCTTGTGTCTCTTGGGTGCTCCCTGCATAGAGATGTGCTTTTTGCTGCTGAGAAGGGATGTTGACGCCCTGGGAGACGGAGTCGTCCACGTCGAGGACAAGATGGGGGATTATGCGGAGGCCCATAACGATCTTCTCGTCTACCAACTGGCACAGTCAGGTTCTCCGTTGGGGATTAATGGCGGTTAAGATTGTACAGCGCTCCTGCACTTGTATCACGCTGCCGTTCAGAGGCGACACCCGGAGCTTTAGGAGAAGCTGCAGGCTCTCTACATCCGCGTCTTGTCACCGTACTGCTCTACAAAGATGGCGCCGGTGTAGTCGGCTGCCGTCACGACTGCTCTGCAGTCGTGTAAGCATTTCACTGCATATCATACTTGTACGATTGTGTATGTGACAAATAAAATCTATCTATCTAATTCTCTGCTTACTTCCTCATAGAAATAAGATACATTTATTTGATAAATTCATGCTGGCTTTCACTTTCATATATTATATTACACACTCTTGCATGTGGTCCAGTACCAGAACTTCAAAGATCTTTCCTACAATAATGTTCGGATGGATGGCGACCTTGATCCCTAGGTAGCACATTCTCTAAGAGTCAATTCAATGGTGCTAATCCATTAAAGATTTTCTGTGTATTAGAAGCAATGGCTTAGTAATAACAAGCTCAGCTCCGTAAGGACTCATGGGTGTAAAGATATTCATCAGAATATTAAAGGAGAACTATGAGGTCAGAGATTTCCACTCACCTCATAGTTCTAGCCGACCTGTGACAATGAGACTGTCACAGGTCGGCTCAGTAGATTGGGAGGTGAGCGAACACATACCGCCGTTCGCTCACCTCTCGATCCTGTCACGGCTCTCTGCCTGACAGGGGAGGGGCTGTATTCCCCCCTCCCCGCTCCGATCCTCCAGCGCTGACTGGCGGAACGGACGGGGGAGGGGGCGGGTACAGCTGGCTCTGCCTCTAGATAGGCAGAGCCAGCTGTCATTTACGCAGCTGGGTGGATACAGACATAATTGTCGGGATCCGCTTCAGCTGCGGCGTCTCAGTATAGCGCGAGCTGTAGCTGGCGGTATACGGAGCTTAGGGTGATGGGAGGATGCTAGTTTGTGTCCTCCCGTTACACTAAGGAGAACTATGGGGAAAAGCCCATAGTTCTACTTTAAATAATAACATCAGAGATTTGTCGGGGAGGTGGCCAGAGCATCCCAGGTCGCTAAGAGCTTCTCTTTGCAGATTTACTTTTGCAGCTGAATTATTTGTAATGTTCAAACCATTTAAGTGTTCCTTCCGGTTTGTGCATTTAAGTGACTCTGTCACTATGTTCGAAGGAGGAAATGCAGTCATGCCTGAAAAGTAAGCAAATAAAGAAGAACTTCAGGTTGTAGAAAAAAATAAGTGCTTGTTTTTCTCCAGGGGCGATAATATGAAAGAAATACTCAACAGATCCTCAGTCCTGCCTGGCTGCTAGACCACTCCCCTGGGTCCCAGTGGTATACGGATCTGTGACATCATCAGGTTACATAGTTATATAGTATTTGAGGTTAAATAAAAGACACAGGTCCATCAAGTTCACCCTTTGTGTGTCTGTGTGCGATTGTGTATATGTGTACACGAGTCCCTGTGAGATCTTGTTTTTAAGAGTACCTGTACCCCTGTATGGTGTAATACAAGGGTATTGGATGTGAAGAAGCCAAGGAACATTCTACAGCCGGAGAAGGGAGGAAGAGAGGGCAGAGGTAACTGTTGCAGGATGAATATTTCTTTTTTATTATTATCCCTAGAGAAAAATGAGCAGTTAACCCTTGCAGTGCACGGGGGGGGGGGGGGGGGGGGGGGGGGGTAGCCCTACTGCAAGGGTTAACTTTTTGACAAGCTGGAGTTCTTCTTTAATGCTGACCCGTCCTGCTGCCCATGCCGCCAACTCTTCTGGGTTGAAGACGAAGCCTACTCAATGATCTCCAGTAGACTTCCAAGTGTGTTTCATGCCTGGTTGCTCCATTGTTTGTTATGGTTCTTTTTACCAGCCCCCACAACTTGTAGTGTCTGGTGAAGGAAACCACAGAGCATAGACAATCCTGGAAGTGTTGAATGCAGAAGATCTTTGAGCAAACATTCTACAACCCAGGCCAGTGTGGTGGAACAGGAGCTTTTCAACTTCAAAAATAGTGACAGATCCCCTTTGCAAGCCCTTTACTTATCATGAATTCTTTTTTTAACACTAGATGGTCACATGTGTTTCCCTTTCTTAGTCTTTTACACTTGTTGGCCATATAAATACAATATATTGTTGTGTAAAGTGCTTACATGGAATGTTCCATTCTTGATCAATTTGTATAATACAGTAGTTCAAAAAGGGTAAACTACTCACCTGCGGAGCTTCTGCCTCACATCCTGGTTCTTGATTTCATTCTTCAGGTCCTCAAAGTCCTGTGCTGAGGTAAGGTTGCAGAACACCCTGTAGTCATTGTATGGTGGAATCCCATGGTCCCTGCCACGTTGGATATTGATAGCCGCAAGGTCTAAGGACACCGAATGCACAGCAGCGAAAAGTTTCTCGGTGAGCTCCAAGTTGAGTAGTTGTGTGGGGACCCTCATCTTACCAGGCACCCCAAACAGCCCTCGCAGAATAGGGTCTATCCCTCCCTCCTGGAGCAACCTGAAAGGGCTGAAGAAGGCTTTATGCAGTGGGAGATGCCCTTGGTGGATGGGTTGAAAGGTTTCATTCAGTCGATACATAATGGGGTTAATCAGGGTGTGCCCAAATCGTAAAGCAGCAGTGGCAAAGGCATTGAAGATTGCGCTGTTGACGTTAGGGTCGTAACCTTTATACTCCCCCAACATTCTCATTCCAGGTTCTCCAAGAATCTTTGGAAGCCAGTGGGTGTAGGTAATGTGCTGCATTTGAGCACCAACAATCTTTCTGGCCTCATGGTAGATCTTATCGCCATTCCAGTGAGGGTTGAGCATCATTAGATGTTCTGTAATGCGGTTATGTTCCCGAAACCACAAGGTGTGCATGGAGGTAAGGCCAAGCTGTTCATTAGCTCTATGATCTCCTGCTAAAAAGCACGGGACTGAACTTTCCCTCTCGTCCCGCATACATTCTGTAGGAGGCCCATGAGCAGAAGGCATCATTGCCTTTCCAGAAGACATCACTCCACCGACTTTCAACAGGCCCCTCTGGTTTGTCAGATCTCGGAGCTCTAAGGACTCTTGCTCAGAACTCCCGTACACATTGGAGGCATCAATGTAAGCAGTGAGCATATTGACCTGCTCTCGGTAATAGACCGAGTCCAAAAGAAGAGAGGTCACTCCACTGCCGCAAACCGGGCTGGATCGGGCAAAGAACATGCACTGTCCGTTTTTTAACCTCGGATCATTCTCGGGCATACTGATGGGAAAGCAGGGTGAGTCATTGGTACACACCTGGCTGCAGGGTGCTGCGTCAGAAAATCTGGACATACTGAGTGCCGGGATGGTCTGGTCTAGATCATGGTCCAGAAACTGACCCCACTGCATAAGTATGTGTGTGTACTGGGCATCTGGAGTGATGGTCTCTGTGCCAATCATGGTGGTGGACACCAGACGAGGAAGCGGTAAAGGCAACACACCGGACTCATCTGATGCTCCTCTGGGTTGGTTAAAGCCATTCTGGTAGGCGGGCTTAAGCAGGCGCTGGAAAGCAGTGACAGATGCCCCCCACATTGGATGCCGCAGGTTGTTACAAGTACCATCGTGGGTGCGGTAGCGCTGATGGAAACAAACGTCCGAGCAGTTAGGTGTCCGTCTGTGAGCAGAGCATCCCGAGATGTTGGCAATCATGCTGATGAAGTGAGGGGACACCAGATCCCTATAGTGATAACCTGTAGAGGGTAGAACTGAAATGTTATAGACTCATAAAACAGTAAAAGTTGGTGGATAATAGGGAGGATTGCTATGGACCCAGGTCTCCCCATCCACCCATAATTCCACTACAGCTGGAAAGTTACTACATGTCATTTGATCATAATGAATACTGTAGGCTACAATGTAGTTAAGCAGGGGCAGTCAGATCCAGGATCCCCCAGCTTGTGATTGGACAATAAAGAGGCAGTAGCACACTGATGAGGTCACCTCTCTGCTCTTCCATCATGTAATCATGTTCCACAGTTAGACTAACAACACCGTGCAAAGCAACTGAGCCCTTACCAGCTTCCCATTGTGAGTGCTGTGGTGTAGGGGGACACAGGAATCTATGTCCAGACAGATTCAGGTATCTATTACATGTTTTTTTGTTAGATCTGTTACACATGCACCAAAAACACTTCATTAAAACACACATGGGCCCATAACAGAACGGTGAACTACTTCGGCTACAGAACACCAGCAACTTTGCTCTACATCAGCCCAGTTCTTCAAGATCACTGGCCTACCTGTGCTGTTCAGATCTTCAGGCAGGCCTTGCTGCACATGTTCCTCTATCAGTTCAAGGGTCCTCTCCAGGATCTCTGCTGCTCGAACAGTCTCGATGGCCTGAGGGTCACGGGGGTACCGGGACAGGGCAAAAAGATCACTAGGCGACTTGGGTAAACTGTATAAAAATAACAAAAATGTCTTTTTTAGAGGGTGCAGCATTGTGTTCTACCAAGACACCAACGGACAGAAATGTATCTTAAAGAGGACCTGTACTGTGGAAGCTGTGCACAAAAAAGCAGAGGGCCAAGGACTGGTCATCAATATTGCATGTGGTCTCCCTGCAGCTCATATTTTCCCCATTACTGATTTACCATGCCCTGGTTCCACCCTGTGTCCCTGTGATAGAGGAGCAGGGCTTTGCTTTCTCCTATCAGTGCTGTCCCCTTCAAGACAGGTGGTCTGATTATTGATGGAAGAGATCCTTGCACTACAGGTTCTCGGGTACAGCTTCCTCTTCAGCAAGAAGAACAGTGAGCATCACAGTAGTGACATCATCAAATCTCACTTGAAATCTGATGAGAATAGCAGTCCGAGGCACAGGACGTTCTGTGACATTTTGCAGGAGGAATTCAAGACAAAAGGACAATTTTCAGACTAGAGGAGACATTTTTAGAGGAGACATTCCTTATAGGAAAGCAAATCTTCACTTTTTGAGTTCAGTTTAATATGTCATTGGAACTCATACTGATTCAGGATATTTGGTGGGACCAGGTCATGTTTAACCTTACCTTTCCTCATACCAAGCTTGGAACCAACTATGGCAAAGTAACTGACAGAATTAAAAATATAAAACTATAGAGAAAGCACAGAGTATTGCGCACCTATCATCAAGAGTTGGTTTATGAAAGCCTTTGGTGTGAATTGGGGGAAATATAAAAATCTCACCACAGGATAATCAGATATGTAGCTACAGTTTTCCAATTCTAAGAACAAAACAGGAACGTTTCTTTCCTTTGTGTAAAAGCCTTGTTCAGACCCACTTTCCATTTAAAAAGTTCCTTTTGATTGTCGATATTTTGAAGGTTGTTTTAACAAGTGGATTTTAGTGCAACCTATAGATGTTGTGCCTTGCTATAAAAAAATTCTGCCATATATTTTTTAATGACTAATTTCTTCCTGTTTTGCTTAGTGTCCTCACTATATCCCCTCGTATATTGTTTTAAATGTGCATCCCTCCTTTACTGAGCAGTTCCAAGCGACTCCTCCTCCTCCACTGAGCAGCAATAGAAGATTGCCTCTTCCCCCAAGGAGCAGTCATCTGTAGGAATAACCACTTATCAAAGCTGCTTCATGCTGTATTACCCCACCTCAGCTTTTGACCACTGACCGCCATCTTCCAGCACAAGTTTGAATCTGAGTGGTTGCTGTGGGGTAACACAGACAGTTCCTATTTTTGACACAGCACTGGGGCTTACACAAGAAAGGGCTTCTTACCTACAGGGCAGCCATCTGTACGAGTGAGACTCCTCACCTGCTGAACAGGTATCTGTGAGTGGCCTTGAAACTGCTGTTGACGCTTTGGATGGCTTCTCGCAAGGATGTCTCCACAAAGGTATCCCCGACACGCGCTGTATCTGAGATGCAGACAGTCAGTGAGATTTTCATCAGCTATACAGGACAACCTTGGAAAAGATGATAGTGCTATATGTATTGTAAAGCCCCTATGGCCACAGGATTAGGCCCCAGCTAGGTTTCCTGCTCACAGACCCTGCTTACCTCGTGGCTGCACATACAGCTGGACCGACACAGAGCTGACCCCCATAGAGCTGGTGGCATGGCACTGATACCGCCCGCTATCCTTGATCACAGATTTCAGGATATGGAGAGTCCCCGATTCCAGAATCGCATGTCGCCCATCATTTGACAGTTCTCCTCCTAATGACACAACAACAGACACAATTTAATAGAAAACTTCTGATACAATGGTTCATTCAGCGACAACTGAAAATAGGTGCACTTCCTTTGGCAACCAATCACGTTACAGCTTTGTTCTCAAACCTGTATAAGAAAACACAGCCGATGTAATCCGATTTGCTGCTATTACAGTTGCTGAGTGTCCTCGGTGCCTAGATCCCAGGTATGTAACTGGTAGAATACCGCACTAGTAGGGGCAAAACACAGAAGTATGGAACGTCTGGGAGTGGAGGGGAACAAAGTCTGCTTTTAGGTCTTGGGAAGTGATGTGCAGCTCCATACTCATGTGCGTTTGCAGCGCTTTTGGAGGTATGGACCCAGAAGGAGTGAGCACCCGCAGACTGACTGCATGGCAGAGTTGTATAAATCTCAGAACTTGATGGACAGAAATACAAAGCCTTTTGCAGATAAAACAGGTCTCCTGTGTATTTTATATGTGTAGAATTAAACCCTCGCGATTTTTTTGCATATATCTACTGCTAGCAAGCAGTAGATATATGTAAACACATTTTTTTTTAAAGTAACCAAAAAGATTATTACTTACCTGTGTCTCCGTCGCTCGCTCCCGTCCGAAGATCTGAAAATTCTCGAGCGGCCGTGAAGGATGACGGGGCGGGAGCATGTGCAGTAGAGATCTCCGGCCGGGAGAAGAGGAGAGACACAGTGTAAGTCAATGCATGCAGCCGGCAGCGTGCACGCCCACAGACACCATGGGACAGGAAGACGCAGCAGTCAGCGCTGGATCAGAGACCGGCACCAGCGCTGGAGGGACTCCTGTAAACTACTGGAAAGAAAAAGATGATCGGATCAAGAGGCATCACATAAGGTAAGTCAAACTTTTATTTTAAATAAAAACACCAAAAAGAAAAAAAATGCTAGCCTGTTGCGTCTCCTAGAGAGCCAAGAGAAGATGAGAACCCCGCTCTCTAGCAGCATATAAAAGCTTTTCAGTTGCAGTCTTTTAAGGACATCAGAAGCAGTCATGTGTCCAATCCCCACCGAGGTCTGGCATTCATACCGGCCTTGGCACAAGAGACACCCAACCGACGGCTGATCAGCTGACCGGGCTCAGCGCCAGAGGAATTATCACACGGCTGAGAAGATAAGCGGGGTGACACAGAATCTCCACACAAGTTGGATTTTGCACTCTTCACACAGGAATCATACATGTTTACAAATTGATTTCAGTTTTAGCCCTGAACACCTTCATGCAACAAAATTGCCAGAGAGAGACGTAGTCTTGGTGCCCAGATAAAACAGGGGACAGGATGGAGAAGGTTTACAACCCCTGTTAGGTTTTTAATGCTATCTGGGGTTCCGTCACTTCCTGTCCCTGTGACAACGGTGGAGGAAATGAGAGGAAATAATGTGCATAAAAGAATCCTGCGACTGTTGTTATTATTATACACGATTTATATAATGCCAACAGTTTGCTCAGCGCTTTACAATACAAGAAGGATATTACAGTTACAATTACAATTAAGACGAGATGATAAGGAGGGCCTGTTGGAAATGTTCACTCACTTCTTGCCTGATGAAACCATTGTCAATGTTCTAAGAAGAAATAACATAAAAAAAAAAATACCCCCCACGTTCCCAGCTTCTGGGAATTGTGGGTGATGTCAGAACTCCTACTGCTTCCTCTCACGAGAATGCACTGGGAAGCATTCCCGTGGGATTGCAAGTGCCCAGCTATCCCAGGACCTTCCGTTTTTCATGGAACGTCTGTTTTAAGTGATGATAAAGTTTTTGCCGATTTAATAGGCCCACAGTGGAAATGTAAAGATCCATAAGGTCCATAATGTCTGGTCCATAAGGTGAGGGAGCTGATCTGGTTAAAAAAGGTTCTTCTGGGGAGGTCACAATAATCAAGGTGGGAGAGGTCAGGGCCTTACCGTCTTTAGTCCAGGTTATGACAGGAGCTGGTCGTCCTCTGGCGGAACAAAGAAATTCCACATCCCGGCCTTCAGTCACCGTCTGGTCTCTGGGAACCACAAAGAACTTCTGCGAATCTAAAATCGAAGTGAGGAAGTGAAGATTGCTGGAGCATAGAATTGAAAAGTAAAAGCCACGCTACTATTTATAACAAGCTATAAGGAACAAACATAAGTCACATGGGCTCTGTGACTTTAGCACAGTTGAAGAATTTGCTGTCGAACATCAACAGACGGGAAGTTATCACATCAATATTGCAATCAATAAATTTGCCTTACGGCATTGTGTCTGCTCTCCGTCCACGCTCACCTTGTACGATGACGGATGCCGAGGCCTGTACGCTGCCCTCGCTGTTGCTGGCATGACAGTGATAGAGCCCCTGGTCGGCGGCGGTGAGGTTCTGGATGTACAGACCCCCGGAGCTGGTGATGGTAAAGCGCCCGTCATTGGGGATGGCTTCCCCGTTCTCCGTGGTCCATGTGATCGTTGGCTGAGGATCCCCAGAGACTCCGCACTCCAGGGTCACGCTTCCATCTACGAGCACCTCAGTGGTTTGTGGATGGATTATAAACAACGGCTTCACTGAGGAGGCAGAAAGACAAAGCTAAGTACCTTCCATGACAGTCCAGTCAGCTGCCTTTAGAATGAACGTGTACTGTCTGTGAAGAAGAAGGCCGCTCGTGGCTGGACAATAAAGCTGTGCTATAATCGGGGCCGGATTTACTCCATCTGCTGCCCCAATGCCAGGTTCCTCAATGCGCCCCCTGTGTGCAGGCTGCATACAAGTTATCTCCGAGACATCACCGAGACCACTACAAAAACAAGCGGCAGCTTTCCCGCTGTACATTTAGCCGTGCTTGCCCAAAGCAGGGCTAAATGTAGAAAACAACTAGCCGCCCGGCACCCAGAACTACATGTCCCGGGAGTCGGGAGATAGGAATTCCACACCCCGGCTGCCCCTCTATTCTCTGCTGCCCCAAGGCTGGGCCTTGGTTGTCCTTGTGGGAAATCTGGCCCTGGCTATAATACTAAATTACGTTACAGTGCAGTACAATAGTACCTGTTTCTCTGATCTCTGCCTACCAAATGCACATAAGATGCTGCACAGAGCTTATTAGAAATTTTGGGTTCAGGTACCCTCTTGTTTTTAGTTTTTTTCCCTTGCACCTTGCAATTGTAAAATCAGTGTTACTTACAGCGGCTGCCGGAGTAGCGCAGGACCGCTTCCTGAGTGCGCGCCTCCCCTGCGATGTTCTTGGCCGCGCACTGATAGATCCCTTTATCTGACTCTTGCGTGTTCTGAATCATCAGCGTCCCGTCGTGTAAAAGATTCAGCCGCCCGTCATAACTCATATCGATCTCGTTGCTGGAAGACAGCGAAGGTTAGAGATGGGAAAAAGAATTTGCCTGATTTTGCCTTCTTCTCACCAATTTATGAACCTTTGCATGAAATTCTAATATTTGTTCACTTAGAGCCCCTTTACCCAGAACAGCCACATGATTGTAAGGTAAAAGAAGACACATGGTCATCGGATCCTCTCAAAGACCTTTTTTACTTTAGAGACACATTTTAAACATTTATTTAGTAATCATTTAAACATTTTTCTTTATGTAAAAATTAAATTTTAAAAAATTATCTCTTTCTAGTTTTGGACTGAGTAGGCTTTCCTACTGCTGTCTATGCCCCTCCTTTGCTGGGAACAGTCATCCCTCTATTTGTCCTGGTGATAGAAAGGGACAGAAAATTGGTAAGGAAATCTTCCTAAGGGGAACAACCGGCATGGCGAAAACTGTTTAAAGCTGGCCGTATATTTATTGTCTTTGTTCAACCTGCAAACTGAATGAAAATAGAACAGATTCCTCCATCTTGGCCTATGAGCCGCCAGCCGCTGCCAGCTCCATCTGGCCCGTAGATGTTCCAACCAGCTCCTTCGATCTTCTGATTGATGGATGCCGGACGGCCAGCTTAAAAGGGGATTTCTGCTTACTTCAGAAAGATTATCCATTATTTTCTGTGGCGTGTTCAGGACTGGAAGTGAAAGGAACCCTCCCCAAACTTTGCAGGGGGTTCTACAACCCATCCCTAGTCTATGATTTATAACTTAAAAAAAAAAAAGGTTTTAGCTATATATACTTTATGTACGTTAGGTTTATGTAATCACTTAGTTAAAAAAAACAGGTAACTCTAGCACTCCAGCTGTGGTGAAACTACATATCCCTTCATGCCTGTTGCTGTCAGTCTTGTAATGCCTTACTGGACTTGACGTTCCACAACAGCTGGAGTGCTGAGGTTGCCTACCCCTGACCCATACCCCACAGACTACTGACTGTCTATGATTGGTCCCAGGCAAGTTAGAGTCGCAGCATCAGTTCCCTTCATGGGGGCATCCTGAATAATATTGACAGCATTTATGACAGGCATGGATAGGGGGCAATCTGACATGTAGGTATCTCTTACAATAGGTATTAGTGCCAATGCCTTATAGCGCTTTTCTCACTCACTGCAACACTCACTTGTTATGTATCCATCTGATGTCAGGTTTGGGATTCCCCTCGGCTCGGCAGATAAAATAAACGGTATTTCCAAGGACGACATCTGCATCCCTAGGTTCTGATACAATTCGAGGCATTTCTAGAGGAAAAGGAGACCCCCATCAAAGGACAGATCACCAGTTCTGACAAAAACACAGTTGCAGTTAGGCCTGCAGAGCATTGCAAAGAAGGCATTCATGACAGGCATGGATAGGTGGCAATCTGACATTTAGGTACCTCCGGGAGTCATGCCTGTAGCTGTCAGTCTTGCAATGCCTCGTGGGATTTGTATTTCCACAACTTTGAAAATGCCAAGGTTGCCAACCCTTGAGTTAGAGCAGGGGAGGGCAACTCCGGCCCTCCAGCTGAGCAGAAACTACAAATCCCAACAAATACATACATTTGTGGTTCCAGGGTTGCCTAACCCTGAGTATAGAGAGAAGGGGTAAGAACTTCTATGTTTTAATTGCTTTCTGTACCTTCCAGTCCATTTAGGACTCCATTTCAGTGCCACCGAGACAGGAAGTAAGTAAGGAAAGCCTATAAAATGGGATCAGAGAGCAAAATATAAATCTTATAGAAAATGTATATTTCTTTATTCTATCCCAAACAATTGGCTGGAGTCAGAACTGAACAGTTGTCTCTCTTCTGGCCACAGGTACAGAAAAAGGAAGAAGGGAGCTGTAATCATAAGAGGTCTCCCGCAATGGTAGAGGGTTTCTTGCCCTCATTATGAAAATCAAATCCTTCATATACTCCAATTAAAGGAAAAAGACAATGTCAATGTGTAATATCCCAAACCCTCAGCTCACCGCAGTTAAACTGATCCGCAGGGAGGGAGCTCACAGACTTTGCTCGCAAATGCGTTGGATGTTCGCACGTGGCAGCCGTCAGCGTGCTGCTCCTCTCTGTGAACTTCTTCAGGAGGTCCCCCAGCCACACCAGCTCACAGTCGCACACCAAGGGGTTGGAGTCCAGGCGCCTGGACACACACAGAGACACAAACTATAAAAATACTTTCTGGTTGGATGCGGGTAGCTATTAAAGAACTCCAGGGACAGACACTCGGTCTCTATTCAAGTCCAGCATTCATTTGTGAAATCTCTTTCTTTCAGCTGTCCTTATGCTGCCACATACAAGATGACATTTAAAGCTGAATTCAGGAACAAGCAAATATCTGTATCCATGTGTATTCTTCCTTGAATCTTGGTGAGCTTTGTGTATTTCTTCCAGATCTGTGCAGTAATCCAGTGCGACACTTCCTGTAATAAAGACCACTCACTGCGCTGCTCTCTTTCTTTGTGCAGGGTGACTGGTCTTGTCTCCGCCCCCTCATGTAATAAACACCGGTCACTACTGCTCTCTGTCCTTGTGCAGGGTGACTGGTCTTGTCTCCACCCCCCTCCTGTAATAAAGACCAGTCACTGCTGCTCTATCTCCTTGTGCAGGGTGACTGGTCTTGTCTCCACCCCTCCTGTAATAAAGACCGCTCACTGCTCTCTATCTCCTTGTGCAGGGTGACTAGTCTTGTCTCCACCACTCCTGTAATAAAGACCGGTCACTGCGGCTCTCTCTCCTTGTGCAGGGTGACTGGTCTTGTCTCCACCCCCCTCCTGTAATAAAGACTGGCCACTACTGTTCTCTCTCCTTGTGCAGGGTGACTGGTCTTGTCTCCACCCCCCTCCTGTAATAAAGACCGATCACTGCTGCTCTCTCTCTTCTTGTGCAGGGTGACTGGTCTTGTCTCCGCCCCCCCTCCTGTAATAAAGACTGATCACTGCTGCTCTCTCTCTCCTTGTGCAGGGTGACTAGTCTTGTCTCCACCCCCTCCTGTAATAAAGACTGATCACTGCTGCTCTCTCTCTCCTTGTGCAGGGTGACTAGTCTTGTCTCCACCCCCTCCTGTAATAAAGACTGATCACTGCTGCTCTCTGTCCTTCTGCAAGGTGACTGGTCTTGTCTCCGCCCCCCTCCTGTAGTTATCATTAGTGGGTGGGGCCTGCTGGGTCCCTCCTACAGATCTGGTCTCTGCACAGGCTATGTACAGCACAGTGACTATGTCAATGCTACTTTTAGCATTAGGTAAGTGGTTTTCTAGTCTTTATGGATATTGTAGAATATATTTCAATGAAAATGTTTGTGCCTGGAGTTCAACTGTAAACTTTGTCTGGCGATGGCATGTATGTTGATAAGAGGGGTGAGAGCTGCTTAGGTGAGCTTCCAGTCTGAAGGAAGCACAGGGCAGGTGGCAGCAGTATGGTAAAGGGTGCGGTGCAGTGGCACATTTGTATAACTGCAGGCACTAGAAGTGTATAGTACAGCTAGGGTAGGGAGAATCACAGGAGCACAGGAAATGTTTGAGAGCCTGTTCTAAACACATTTCAATGCTACTATTTAGCATTTGCGGCAGAGTCGCCCATTACAATGCACACTTTTGGGGCAAAAAACAATCAACTTACAGACGGGTCAGTGATGGCAGCTGAGAGAAGGTCCCTGGCTGAATCCTGGAGATCCGGTTATTGTGCAGGAACCTGCGGAGGCAACGGGACATTCACATGGAGCCAAGTTCATGAAATAATTCACAAGCCCTGAGCCGCTGCCATCACTTACAGTCTCTCCAGCTTTGGCAGATCCCCGAACGTGTCGGCATCCAGAGTCTCCAGGTGGTTGAAGTGGAGATACCTGATGGAGAGGAAGACAAATACAGAGGATGAGCTGGGTGAACTGACAGCAACACATCTACCAGGCTACGACAGCAGCAAAATTACGAAATGCATGGATGTGTTTCTTAATGCACAAGTATAACTGGCTAAGAATATTATTGAGGAACACTGAAAGATTGGTGACCCAAAGTGATTTCATCTTTCACTGCATTATTGTGGGAACCATTTAGGCCTTAGTTACCAATGTGTTCAACTTTTTCAGCCACCAATCTCCTGAGAGTAAGAATTATTGACAATCAATTGTTGATACGGTGCTGTCTGCTATACTCACAGCTGTTCCAGTGAGCCCAGCCCATGGAAGGCATTGCTCTGTAAGGTGCGAATTTCATTCTTGTACAGGTATCTGCAAGAAAACATAAAGAATGAAGAGTGAGTCTGGATACATGGTCATCGGTGGGAAGAATGATGTCTGCAGGAAAGACAATAAACAAGGGGACACAGAGTAGGATGCAGTAATAGGTGTTGACATGGATGAAGAGGGCGTGATAGAGGCCACGGACCTTAGTGAGAAAGAGGACAATGTTGATAAGATCCGGGGTACTAGAGGTAGAAAAATGGGGAGGTGAAGGACAAGAGATTTAAATTAAAAGCCAAAGGGCATAGGCAGAAGGAGAAAAAAACAGGGAAGGAATAGGGAAGAAGGACAGTAAGGAAGGATGGGCCAGGTAATAGGGAGAATGGAAGGCAGAAGGAGCTAGAGGTCTGGGTATAATGACCTATAATGTATATAATGTATGATGAATCAGGAACCAGGGATGCAGGGAGAAGGGTGAACAGGAGAGAATGTGAATACATGGACAGCAAGGAACGAGAGCCAGGGATAAGGGAATAATGAGGAGAAAAGAAGCCACAGATTTAGATATAACGACATAATGACTACAAGGTTAGCAGGTAAATGGAGTCAGAGACCTGAGGATAACCAGGAGAACATATGACTAGAATGAGAAAAAGTCAGGGAACTGGGTGGAATGAGGAAAACCAGGAGAAGACATGACAAAAAAGATAGCATGGAGAGGAAGACAGAGACCGGGGTAAAATAAGGAAAGGAAATAACTAGATGGAGAGAATGTCAGGGAATCGGGTAGAAGGAGAAAAAACAAGGAGGATATGACTAGAAGGAGAGAAAATCAGGGAATCGGGTAGAAGGAGGAAAACCAGGAGAGGATATGACTAGAAGGATAGCATGGAGAGGAAGATAGGGACCAGGGTAAAAGAAGGAAAACCAGGAGGGGATATAACTAGGAGAGGAAGTCAGGGAATTGGGTAGGAGGGAAACCAGGAGAGAATATGACTAGAAGGATAGCATGGAGAGGAAGATAGGGACCAGGGTAAAAGAAGGAAAACCAGGAGGGGATATAACTAGGAGAGGAAGTCAGGGAATCGGGTAGGAGGAAAACCAGGAGAGGATATGACTAGAAGGATAGCATGGAGAGGAAGATACGGACCAGGGTAAAAGAAGGAAAATCAGGAGGGGATATAACTAGGAGAGGAAGTCAGGGAATCAGGTGGAAGGGGGAAAACCAGGAGAGGATATGACATACGGAGAGGAAGTCAGGGAATCAGGTGGAAGGGGAAAAACCAGGAGAGGATATGACTATACGGAGAGAAAGCCAGGGAATCGGGTAGAAGGAGGGAAACCAGGAGAGGATATGACAAGAAGGATGGGATGGGTAGGATGGGGGCCATCACAACTATCAATTTGGCTCATCCCAAAGCACAATACACAATGCTGTACCTATAGAAACTGGCATGATGTATCATATGAAGCCACTACAGTTAAACCTAATCAGAAATGTCTTAATAGGGATACTAGTAAAGGGGAAAGCAGAGGAGAGGGAAGAACCAGTGAACAGGTCTGACTGACAGATGCTTCAAATTTTCCAGTTTCTCAAATGGTTTCCGAGAGAGCTGCTGGATACGGTTGTTGTTCAGCAACCTGCAATAAGCAAAAATAAGAAATCATGTAAAGCAATGACAATACAGCCCAGTACTAATATTCTCAGTCTAAATACATTACAAATGTCCCTATTAAACAACACAAATTACCCTACAGAGGGGGTTGTTCAACTCTGCTTGAGGGAGGGGGGCTTGAGAATGTTATTGATTCATTTTGCACCCTAATTATAGGTGTGGCATGAAGCATGTGCTCTCCTATGTGCCGCCAGCTCAAGATACATTCCCCCAGCCGCCTAGATAAGAGGTCCTTTCGCATAGCAAGGTTCAGCTGACTTTAAAACAAAGATGGAATATTCATATTCCGACATAAGACCACACATGCTTTAATCCGGTCTTTCAATAATCTGGCTCTGTATAATCTCTATTCCAATCGCATTTCAGAAAAAAATCTGAAGCATCGGCGAACACTACGGCCTTCCCTTTCCATCTAGTTTTCGCATTTGAGTCCAAGGGCAAGCAATTGATTTCGAGGAGCACCCAGAAGCAAAGCCCACCCTTTCTCAGAAGAGTGTAACAGGCCTGGCTGGTAATACCCCGAATCCTGTCCACAAGGGCACACACAATCCTACCTCCTGTCCATTTAAAGAGTAAGAACATCAGCATAGCCTTACAGAGTGTGAAGGTTGGGCAGCTTCTGGAGGGCTTCAGAACTGACCTCTCGGATACGGTTAAATCTCAGGTCCCTGTGGAGAGAAAAGTCAGAAAGGATTATATGGCGCTGCCCTGTATGATATAAACTGTAGGTTTCTGAACAGTGGTTTAGTGTACACCATCACTGTGACCTTGGTAGCACTGAAATACCATGCATACCCTCTGTTTCACCTCCCTGTATAAAGTAGGGATCACTACTTACCTGTGCACCAAACCTACCTCCAATACCTGGTGATCTGAACTCTGTCTGTAGTCACTCCTTAAATCGATAAAGTGGGCTGGTCAGTAACGTGGGCATCAGTCAGTGACCCTGCCTAGGCTGAGATGATACCATCAGTCTGCTGCAGGCAGGATAAAGCATTTCCTCAGTATACTCAGCTCCTGTTTTTAATTACAATTCCCATATGACAGGTTCTCTTTAAGGACCTAACTCCAGTCCAGTCAGGACCATTAGATGGTCAATGGTGGCCAACACTGGGCAGCTTATACCAGTGATCCTCCCACAGTGCCCAGGGCACCTTTACCACAGCCAATATATACCCTGGCAATGCTTTTCAGGCACTAGTGACCACCTCCAATTTATTGGTGGACAGAGCTTAGTGGGGTTTGTCCTGCCAGTATATTCAAGATAAAACTATTTTTCTTTTAGTTTTGGATAGAGTGTGTGAGGTGTCCAGCTGGGGTTCACCTCAATCCACACAGAATAAACTGTTCCTGGAATCCTGCCATGCTGGACACACTGCGGAACACACACTCCATCCTCATTGTGCATAATAGGGCTGCGTGCGAAACATGAAAACATTCAGTGACATCACCGATAAAGAACTCCATCTATTCTTTCCTAGCAGCACCAAACACTGGCAGCAAAAAGCTGTGCACAGAAGGTCAGAGAAAAAAACAGACAGCACGCTACAAGACGCTTTATGTAAGAGAGATTCAAACATTGTGAATGAATATGTGTATGTTTCAAGACATTGTCTGATGGTGTACTCTCTGCACTCCTCTCCTGTACATACTGCCCACTGCTATACCCTCTGCACTCTTCTCCTGTACATATTGCCCGCTTTTGTATCCTCCACACTCCTCTCCTGTACAAACTGACGTACCCTCTGCACTCCTCTACTGTACATCCATACTGCCCTCTGTCATACCCTCCACACTCCTCTCCTGTACATACTGCCCCGTCATACCCTCCACACTCCTCTCCTGTACATACTGCCCCCTGTCATATCCCCCACACTCCTCTCCTGTGCATCCATACTGCCCTCTGTCATACCCTCTCCTGTACATACTGCCCTCTGTCATACCCTCCACACTCCTCTCCTGTACATACTGCCCTCTGTCATACCCTCTGCACTCCTCTCCTGTACATACTGCCCTCTGTTATACCCTCTGCACTCCTCTACTGTACATAATGCCCTCTGTCATACCCCCCACACTCCTCTCCTGTACATACTGCCCTCTGTCATAACCTCCACACTCCTCTACTGTACATACTGCCTCTTTTTGTACTTCTCTCCTGCACATACTGCCCCCTGCCGTACCCTCTGCACTCCTCTCCTGTACATACTGCCCACTGCCGTACCCTCGGCACTCCTCTCCTGTACATACTGCCCCCTGTCATACCCTCGGCACTCCTCTCCTGTACATACTGCCCACTGCCTTACCCTCTGCACTCCTCTACTGTAAATAATGCCCACTGCCGTACCCTCTGCACTCCTCTCCTGCACATAATGCCTACTGCCGTACCCTCTGCACTCCTCTCCTGTAAATAATGCCCACTGCCGTACCCTCTGCACTCCTCTCCTGTACATAATGCCTACTGCCGTACCCTCTGCACTCCTCTCCTGTACATAATGCCCTCTGTCATACCCTCCACACTCCTCTCCTGTTAATAATTTTCAACTGCCGTACCCTCTACACTCCTCTCCTGTACATACTGCCCCCTGCCGTACCCTCTGCACTCCTCTCCTGTACATACTGCCCACTGCCGTACCCTCGGCACTCCTCTCCTGTACATACTGCCCCCTGTCATACCCTCTGCACTCCTCTCCTGTACATACTGCCCACTGCCGTACCCTCTGCACTCCTCTCCTGTACATACTGCCCCGTGTCATACCCTCTGCATCCCTCTCCTGTACATACTGTCCACTGCCGTACCCTCTGCACTCCTCTCCTGTACATACTGCTCTCTGCCGTACCCTCGGCACTCCTCTCCTGTACATACTGCCCCCTGTCATACCATCTGCACTCCTCTCCTGTACATACTGCCCCCTGTCATACTCTCCACACTCCTCTCCCATACATACTGCCCCCTGTCATACCCTCTGCACTCCCCTCCTGTACATTGGACCATTAGAGCCTGCAAGGCATTGCAACCATGAGTACATCATGCGCGCATTGTGCACCTAGTATGCTTTACCTTGCACTAGGTGCATTGCCGTTTTATTTGAATGGCACCCCAACAGCACAACATGCGGTATTTCCCGTGTGTTGAGTAATAGTAGTGCATGCACTGCAATGCATGACCGCCTGGAAGTGAGTTGGGGTGCCATTAGTATGATGCATTAAACACACAGGGGAGAATTTATCAAAACTGGAGCAGACAAACTCTGGAGCAGCTGTGCACGGCGACCAATCAGCTTCTCTCTTCAGTTTGTTCAGTTAAGAAAGGAAAATGAAAGAGAGAAGCTGATTGGTCGCCGTGCACAGCTGCTCCAGTTTTTGTCTGCTCCAGTTTTGATAAATTCCCTTCACAGCATCATGCAATTAACACAACGCTACGGTGTGAACGAACCCTAAATGAAGGGAGGAAAAATAAGAGATCTACCAGCCCAATCCACAGGTCATTAAATATTACTATAGGGCAACTCAGAATCACAATCAGGGGAATCCCCAATGACAGTGACTCCAGAAATCTGGAATCATTCAGCTCCATGTTACCTGTTCACTATCACTAAAGACGTGTTTTCGTTCTTATAATCAGTCACAGCTGGAAGTCAGATTCACCTAGCTCTTCAGGAAGCTGCAGCCTGATGACACGCAGACACACTTGCCGGATTCATATAATGATCATGGGGTGAATATTGAACATTTGTAAAAGAAATATGTACCGATGGCTTCTATTTAATGCTTCATTTATATTTGTGTCTGACGGATATGATGAAAATACCTGTTTATTGATCTTCTACATTATAGCAAATAATAATCATTTGTGTCATTAGAATTGATTTCATTTCTGCTGACAATAGAAGTTCTGTAAAAGGATTTCTAGCCAGTAGATATTGCAATGGCACCGGTTCTGTCAGTTTCAGATTCACCCAGGTATCTGTACCACGTGTGTGAATCTGAGGATATTTAGTCTGCTTCTCATAGATATAAGAAACTGTCTTTGTTCAAACTTGGCACCGGTCTTTGTAAATTGCCCTGAATATCCGTAACTGACCCTTTTGCTGATAAGAAAATTCCCCTCTTGGTGATCGATGTACATTGGAAGGATTGCAAGAAACGTTTCAGATTTCTACCTGTCTATGTTCTGAAGAAGAAGCCGTTTGTCCCACCTTGTTCTCTCCAGACTGCTTCCTGGTGCACCTTCTGTGTTCTAATGAGATAGGTTGCAAGGTTGCAGTGTTGGCTTCCCTTTAGGGCAGGACCCCACCATTTTCCAGACCAGATCTGGTCCAGAAAATGGTGCGAACCTGCCGCAGTTCGAGTGCATTCCAGACCAGAAAAAATGAGACATGCAGTATTTTTCTGGTCTGGTCTGGAACGGACTGCGCTGGTGTGAACAGAGGCCAGAAAAAGCATAGGGATACATTAAGATGCATTTTGGGTCCGGAAACAAACTGCTCTGGTCTGGAGATGATCTGGATGTGGTGTGAATGGGCCCTTCGTAATAATTAACCCCTTAGGGCTAGTTTAAACCAGCCAATTGGGGCCGGAATGCACTAGATCGCATTGCAGCCGGCTCACTTTGTTTTGGGGCGGGAGGGGGCGTGGTGGTGCACTGAACTTAATGGCACCGTAGCCACGCCCTCCGGCCGCACTAGAACGCAAGGCACATCAATGCCTGCGGTCCGGTCAGAAAAAACGCTGCAAGCACTATTTTTCTGCCCGGACCGCACCGGAATTCAGGCATTGATGTGCCACGCGTTCCCATGCGGCCTATCGCATTGTGGCTGCGATGCCATTTACTTCAATGCACCGCCGCGCCCCCTCCCGCCCCGCAACAAAGCGTGTTGGCCACAATGTGCTCCAGTGCGTTCCGGGCCGGGACACACTGTGACTGGTGTGAACTGGCCCTTAGGGAGTATCTTGCCCAAAACTGAAATTCCTATTGCGAGGGATGCCTACAATGTTTACTTTGTGCAGAAAATCAGTGGGCCAATCACAGAACCAGGAGGAGACACTCCAGGTTTCCACACTGAATTGGATTTTTTTTAACAGTTTTAGAAAATGACAGTGGCTGCAGGTTAAAATGGAAAAATACACACGCTACAGCACAGCACACCCAGCATGCAGTATTGTGTGCTAGGTGCATTGCCGTTCATTGGAATGGCACCCCTCCCAGTAGGCGTGCAGCGCAGCATGGCGTACTGCAATACCATGCACTATATGTAAGAAAAGTGATGCAAATGACAAAATGTGCAGAAATGTTATATGTTATTCTTTCCTAAAGTCTTATCTGTACG